TATTTGGTTCATGCAATTTACCTGCTATATCGTTCAAAGGGATGAATCTATATTGTTCGAAGGGATGAATCAAGCCAAATATCATACAAGCTACTACAAATAATCAAGGGATAGCACTTTACAATGTACAAACAAAACTAAATTGGAAATATTTGAAAAAAATAAGAACGATATTTGGCTTGACTTAACAACATAACAATGTTCTTAATTTTCCAATTTAGTTTTGTTTGTACGTTGTTAAGTGATAACCCTTCATTATGTTGTAGTAGTTCGTATGATATTTGGCTTGATTTTCCCCTTTGAACAAATTAGAAGGTGAATTGCATGAACGAAATACAGGCGAATTACATGAACGAAATAGTAGGCAAGGGAGGAAATAGCAGGCAAGGCCAAATCATTTGCGGTTTCTTTCTTTAGAATCATAGGAACGAAGAAGGAACGAAATAGCAGTTGAGACAAGAGGAAACCGTAGATGGCCTAAGCCATCTGCGGTTTCATGGGAAAAAATCTTTTTATAGACTACAACGAAACCGCAGACGAGGCACGAAACAACATGCGAGTTAGCCTCATCTGCGGTTTCAATCGCTAATTTTTAGCTATTTTTTACAAAATCATTAAGGAAAAAGGTTTGATTTTTAATTTTCTCATATTAATAATACCTCTAGCAAGAAACTAGAGGAAAGTTACAAGGAAGCTATATCTAGTTAGGAGTTATATAACCAACGACACCAAAACATTTTATGCTTCTTAAACCTATTACAAATCCAGAAGAAGGAAATTGAAACTATGTCATCAAACAACGCATCCTTATTAGGCTTATCCACTCCATAAATAAGCTTGTTCCGAAATTCCATAAAGACTAAAACGTGGTGACAATAACTGCATCGAAAACCTTCTTACTAACAGCCAAAAGAGAAGCATCATCCCATCTAACAAACGAATGAACATGTTGTATAGTCAGAGTGACAATACCCCACCAATGAGCAATTTGATCCCAAATAGGAGCAATAAAAGGGCATAAAATTAAAATATGGGTAATAGATTCTCCAACCCGAGAACCCATCGGACAAAACACATAATCGAAGTCAATACCTTGATCTCTCAAGTTTAATCATGTGGGAATTATAACTAAAGCAATCTACCATAGAATAACATTTAACTTCATATGCATAAATTTATTCCACATGTAGGGCTTCCAGGCTGCAAAAGGAAGACTTTATCCAAAAAATGTCGTGTAGAATAGGTCGTAAAAAAAACCATCGTCTTCCATATCCCATAATAAATGATCCTTATCGGTAGAGAATGTGTACTTTGTTGGTGATTTGTGTTATTAATGTTATTTAAATGTAATGGGATTAAATTGTTGACTAATGTAATCCCGATAAATATTGAACAGGTAAGGGTGGTGTAGAGTGCATACTTGTTTGAGATTATTCAGATTTAATGTACATGTCATTTAGGGGTGAAGCCCCTAAACCACGGGGGTCCGGGGGCAGTGCCCCTAGTAGTGGGTTCCAAGGGGTGACAACCCCTGGCGGGGTCCAAGGGGTAAAGCCCATGGCTGGGATCGATATTGCTTTATAGAAAATGCATTAAAATCCGAATTTAAGAATTTAGACCCGGTTTATTAGCAGTTTGTGGCAGTTTGTAACTGTTAATATAACAGATCCTTGACATTTTTCGGACAAGGAATTAAGATCCCGGTTTTGGTTATTTGAATCCGTTACACGAAAAGAGTCATTTCATTTCTTCATTCTACCAAGTTTTATCCGGTTTTAGATTTCGATTGTACTATTGAAATATTTTAATATGAAAGTGCAATCACGACTCTCAGTGTTCCAAGCAACTGAAACCTGATTTTTTAACATATTCCAATAAGCAAGCGAGTAAACCGTCCTACTTAGTAGACTTGATACCACTTCGTAGAGGTCTCCTAAAATCCGAGAGCATCTTTTGCTCAGAATTTCTATCCACCACCATCGAATATTCCTACAACTCTAGCACAAACACTCTAGGAATCATGTCCTTTAGGGATCAATCACGAAGCCAAACTTCATACCAAAATCTAGCAACCAAGCCATCATAAACTTTGACCTTACAAAGGTCCTTCAGTACAACCCCTTTAATAGCAAGATACTCAATACCACGACATATAGAAAAACACATACTATTTCCTATTAATCTAATTTGATGCCGACTGCCACCCCCATTCAGACCATGCACGAATTTTATGATGCTCACCCAAAGAGCATTCGGCTGTTCGAAAAAATCTCCATTGACATTTAAATAGTAAGGTTTTATTAAAATCGTGCAAGCTTCCAACGCCAAGACTCCCAAAATCCTTACTATAAAGCACATGCTTCCAAGCCACCCAATTTAACTTACGCTCCTTAATATCTGCACCCTAAAAAACCTTGGCTTAATCGTTTCCAAAAGTTTCAACACTAGATCTCTAGAGCTTTAAAAATGGACATGTAATAGATGGCAATGCTTCCCAACACCGACTTGATGAGAGCTAACGTTCTTGTATAGATAACATCTTTGCCTTCCAAGAAGAGAGCTTTGAAACAAATCTATCAACTAACGGCTTCCACAAGTCAATATGGTTCATATTAGAGCCCACCGGAACCCAAGATAAATAGAAGGTAATCGAATCGCATTGCATCCAATAAAAGTGGCCACTTCCTGGAGTACAGAAAAGTCCACCCTACTCCAATCAACCTACTCTTAAATAGATTAATTTTCAATCTCGGAGCGAAGTGGAAAAACCTAAAAAATAAGAACAATACGACGACCATTATCTAAATCCCAATCACATAATAAGATAGCATCATCAACATAAAAAATATGGGAAACCTCCAAACCTTTCTCTCTTATAGTACCCCCAAGAAAAGCTTCAGTCCTTCTAGCTTCAAAAATACCCACATGAAAGCCTTTCATAGCTAAAACCAATAGAAATGAAAAGAGATGATCACCTTGTCATAAGTCGCGTTCCACATCAAACTCGGTAGTAGGGGATCCATTAATGATAACTGAAGCGTGAGTAGGAGAAAGAGACACTCTAATCCAAGTACACCACTTATTAGAGAAGTCCATTTTCCTCACAACCTCCGGTAAATACTCCCAAGCAAGAGAATCATACGTTTTCTTAAAGTTCAACTTAAAAACCATCAACTTCTTCTTTAAGTCCTTATAATGTTTCATGATTTCATTCAACATTAAAGGACCGTCCAGAATTTGACTAGATAACCTGTTTGCCAAGAGCTTGCCTACAATCTTGTATTGACACCCAATCAAGCTAATATGCATCCATGAAATGACGCAAAATGCATGTCATGATGTGAAATACATGACATGATGCAAAATACAGGGGTATTCGGATCGCATTCTCACTAAAATTTTGAAACAATTCGACTCTATAATACTTTAAGAAATGAAAATACCAAATGAACTCGGTCTAACACCCCTAGTAGCGAGCTTGGAAGGTACATCATATCGGTTTTGTGGCACAAATAAATATACAAGAGTTTGAGAATTTTCCTATTTTTCTTGGTTCAAAGAAAAAAGAATCTCGATTTTCGATTCAAGCCACTATGACCCGTGATTTACTAACCGCCCATGCTTTTGCGGTAGCTTCAGAATCCATTTTTCTGTTAGTGGTAGATATCTCCAAGAGGAACAAAAATCATCAGTTTGTCGGTGAAAGTTTACATTTTCTTGAAAGATTACATGCATGGAATGGAATGGCTAAAAATGTTTCACCACTTGAAGGCCAAATTGTGAGGTTGATCATGAAGTACGCGAACAAGAAATAGTAATGAGATTATCGATACCACTTAACTTACAAGAGCTAGAATATGAAGTAGAATTACGCAACATGGCGGATGAGAACTAAACCCAAACAACAAAAAGACGACTACAAACGATTAAATCAACAACTATAACGACTGCAATGACCTATTTTCAAATCATGTTTCAATATGTATCTTTTTCAATGTGTATGTTTGATGTATTGTGTATTTCTATAACTAAAACCCAAAAAAACAGAAAAATCCCAAAAATTGCTTCAAAAATTTGTTCATAGAGTACAACCTTGAATAAGCCCAAACCTGTCTGATATTTTCAAACCAGTTTCAGCCAATCCGGTTTTGATCCGGTTTGTATAAGATCGGTTTTTTTTTCTGATTTGAAAACAATCCAATTTTGACTTGTTTTACTTGATCTGAACCCGTTTTAAAATAGTTCCGCTTTATTAAAAAAAAATATTGTTTGCCTCTAATTTGATGATTCTCCATTGATCCACATAAAGAGATTTCCCTTGAGCCCATATACTAGTTTAATTTTCCTTTTAAGCCCATACTCATAGTGGCCATATGACAAGACATATTTTCGTTTTTCACAAAAACCTTGTACATATTTTCGTTTTTCACAAAAACCATATATACCATCTTCAAAATTGTTTTTCTTAAAGGACAAAATTGCAAAAATGGTCCCTGTGGTATGCATTTTTTTTGGGTTTTAATCCAAACCACGACTTTTTTGGATTGGTGGTCCTTTTGAGCTAGTTTCGTTGGGTTTTTGGTCTCTCTGAATAGTGAAATGACTGTAATGCCCTTCTGATATATATATTTAATTTAATATTTTATTAATTAAAAATATGGGGTCCTCTCTCTCTCTCTCTCTCTCTCTCTCTCTCTCTCTCTCTCTCTCTCTCTCTCCAAAAACGAAATCAGCCCTTGTCATTACCTAATCCTCCAAAAACAAAATCCATATTCTTCGTCTTCTCTATCTCTTATTCATCAGAAAGGTGTCGACTTCAGCGATTCTTCTTCAGATGATCTAATCCGGTGGGGAAACTCCAACAACAGCTTCATCATCGTTGACTTTTTAGCTTTCTCACAACGCCTCTTACCTGCTATCTAAGTTTGTGGGTAAAGGTGGAAGTCGATATGAGTCCATCAGCCGACAAGAGGAAAGGGGGCAGAGTCGAGCGGTGGGTGTCAATTGCTTGCGATGATGAATGTTTTCTTCTTATTCTTCCAGATGTTATTGCACATCGCCATGGCTTCTACAGCCGTTGTTCCTTCATCGAGTAATGAAGCATTTGACATGGGTAAACCAGTAAGATCCGTTACCATCGTTTGGAAATTGAGCAGGGATTCGAGCCTTCCCTGTGCAATTTCAGCCTGATAGGGAGTGTATTGGGTGTACCAACCAAGGTTTTTTTCCATAATGTTCCTCAAAATCACAGGAGGAATAGAGGTGTTGTAATACCCCATACCAATAAATAACTTATAAACCCTGTTTTTGGAAACAAACCCATGAAAGTTTTTTTCTGATCTAACAATTATGTCACGAGAAAGGTATGGAGATAACGAGGAAACATACCTCGAAGATGAATACAATGCAGGGGATGGTGAACTTTGCTTGGTTTGTGAAACCAGGCGCTTGAGAATGACTTTGTTTGCTAGCAGAGATTATTTGGGGAAGAAGATGGATCGGGTGGTTTTTTGATTTTTTGGAGAGAGAGAGAGAGAGAGAGAGAGAGAGAGGTGGGTCCCTTTTTATTTTTTTAGTTGTTAAAATAAATAAATAAATATTAAATTTTAAGAAAAATAAAAGAAAAATGAAAAATAAATACCCCAATGGTATTATAGTTATTTCAATTTTTAGAGGGACTATTTTCACATACAAACCACTCCAAAAGGACCATGATCCAAAAAACTCGGGGTTTGAACTAAAACCCCAAAAATTTGCATACCACATGGACCATCTTTGCAATTTTGTCTTCTTAATGCCATATTCATTTCAAACAAAATAATTTCTATTCTTAAACGATTAGAATCTGCCATTTATCAATTTTCCGAACAAGTATTCCAACCATTTTACTCAATTCTCCACCAACTTCAAATTAATTTTTTTTCAAAATCCTCATAAATCATTTTTCCATTTTTTATAAATTGATTTTTCGTAAGCCTTGTAAATCAGTTTTCAGATCTTATAAATTGGTTTTACTTCTTTTATAGATCGTTTTTTCCTTACCCTTCTTTAAAGGTTATTTAAAATCATTTTTTATGGCTACAATCAAATATTAATTTCCGTTTTTGGAATGTGGCAATAGATTTTCCCTTTAGCAAATGAAGATGATCGGATGTTTTGGCTTAATATTATTATGATTGTACGTTGGATATTTATAGAGAAGAAAGATGTTTGTAATTATCCATAATTAATGGAATTTCATTGTGGATTGAGTTATTTTGGAATTTCATTGTGGCTTTAGGCTTTCGGCTTCGAGGGTGTTGGGATCCCGAGATCCTATCATTTATTTGTTTAAGAAAATTAGTTAGAAGATCAGTCAGCTTGTTCAAGCATTATGATATCGCAAGGTATTTTGGTCGTTAGACATTTTTTAGTAGAATATGTTTATGTTGCAGAACATTCGGTTTGAAGTTTTTACTTCATGAGTGCATTCAAGGAGCATGTTATAATATGTGGTATGAAGACCAATTCAACATGAGCGGTTTGGTACCGTTGCAATTTGTTAACGCGTTTCTAATTTTTTTTTTTGGAAAGGGAACTTCCCTAACGGGGTTTCTGGGTCAGCTTTCGCGCAACGATTAATCCCCCGCTGCAAACATGAGGCTTTGCCTCATGCCTTGGAGTCACTGCAGGATTTGAACGTGTTTCTAAATTTTTAAGGTACTTGTGTTGTGTTTCAAGGTTTGTATTCATCGGCGTTTGGATGGTTCAATTTAGCACATCTTTTCCCGATGATGCCATTTGAGAGAGTTTAGTCGTCGATGACTTTTGACACTACTTATTCTTCACTTATCATTGAAAGTTGAAGGTTTGCTTTTGGTTGAAGATTTTTCTTTTTCGTCTCAAGGTGGGGTTTAGTGAAGATGTTCCAAAACCCATTTACTGCATGTTTATTTTTTATATATAGGTTTCGAAAATAACACCTATTAAGGAGTTATTATTTGAATAAAACACCTAATATTTATTTAGGAATATTTCCTACTTATAATAGTTTTTGGAGTTTGTTTAGGACTTTTTATAAGATTATTATATATACACATTTAGATGTTAATTTTTAATTATTTCATTACATCCTCTCTCTCTCTCTCTCTCTCTCTCTCTCTCTCTCTCTCTCTCTCTCTCTCTCTCTCTCTCTCTCTCTCTCTCTCTCTCTCTCTCTCTCTCTCTCTCTCTCTCTCTCTCTCTCCTTTTGGAGATTTATCAACTATGAAACATTCTTAATAAGAGTGTCAGTCTCATAGTGTTTTTTCCTGATTTTAGGCTTCCGCTTTATATCGTGGTGTTCGATAGTTTCTTTAGTTGATTTCTTCTGTTTCTCGCATAATCATATTTTATCGTTGGTGTTCTTTGTGGTTGTTCTGTATATATAATTACACCATATTATTCCTCCCCTATTATGTTGTTGAACAAGGGTCGTGATTGGGACTTAAATGAATGCTCTGGCAACTAGCTTATCCCATCATACTAGGACTTCAAGGGTGGTCTTGACGGACTTGTTGATATAAGTATGTGTCGGCTTGTCATCTTTTTGTGTGCACCCTATTAGTTCTATCACATTGTTAGTGTATTTCTTTTGTTAGATAAAGTGTGTGAGGAATTCCTTAGCAAGATGAGAAAAGATATTGATCCCCATATGGGGTGGGGCAAGCTCTTAAGTCACATGTGATTCAGTCCTTATAGGGTCATTCTAAAGTATGCACACCAAAGTGACGGTCTATTCAATAGGATATTATTAACCAGTTGTAGACCTCCATATGATCGTTAGGGTTCGTGATATATTATGTGTTAGTATGTTGGTATGTTCCTAGTCTGGTCCATGTAGTACATAGGTACAATTGTTCTCTTGGCTTAATTGAGTCAGTAACCGTGTGTGTGTGTATATATATATATATATATATATATATATATATATATATATATATATATATATATATATATGAGGATATCATGCATCGTCGATATCATTCTTGGAAGATAGTCAACTATTGGCATCATTGGGTTAGGGAAGTAACTAACTATTGATGTTGTTTTGTTATGGAAGCTATATATATATATATATATATATATATATATATATATATATATATATATATATATATAGGTTATAATGTGGATGGACAACTACTGTGCGGACGTGTGGACAGTGTTATTTACGAGAATTACTAAGAGAATAGGTTGTTTAATAATGTGAATACGTTCAACCTCACACAACTATCGTCATTTTCATGCATTCTCACTAATTCTTATTCATTTTTGTTCTCACGCATCGTTTTCACTCATTTTCATTCTTACAGAATACGACTCAATAAACATTCTGACAACATTCTGACAGAATGAGAATAATAATAAAAAGTTTATAATAACCTTATAGACGATTTAATTATTGAGAATATGTAATAATGACAATAATTATGTAAGATTGAACGTATTCACATTATCAAACAACATATTTTCTTTGTCATTCTCACAGAATAACACTGTCCACACGTCCACAGAATAGATGTAAATCCACATTTGAACCTAGCTCTCTCTCTCTCTCTCTCTCTCTCTATATATATATATATATATATATATATATATATATATATATATATATATATATATATATATATATATATATATATATATCATATGGTTTTGGATACATAAAGCCTTTCTTTAAGAAGAAAGCATATATTTTGATGTAAGACACCCAATAGGCTTATGCTAGGGCTGCATCTCACATCTTTTGTTTTTGTCCACATTAACATCGGATCATATTTACCAAAGTTTAATTGACAACTTTACTCTGCTCATCGGATTATGTGTGGGTAGTACTACTAAAGTTCAGTTCTGTTCCAAAATGTCGCCAAAGTTTTAGCTAAAAGTGGGATAGAAATTTATTGTCCCGGTCAGAGGTTATGGACTTGGGCAACCTATATAGATGGGCAACCTCCTGAAAGAAGAGTTTGGCCACATGGACATCATCAGATGTCTTCTTGCATGTTATAGACTTAGGCGAGTTTGTTTCCATTGCGGCCATGAAGGACACATTAGAGCTCGTTGTCCTTTTCTCATTTTCGGTGAGGTGTTGGATCCTACACCCCTAGCTTGGCAGTTACCCGATGGTCTTCATAGGATAGTCGGCGTCCCGAAGGCTGATATCTGAGTTATCAATTCTTCTATTTCGCAATTGTTGCGGTATTGGTATTCATCTGTGATTCATGTTTATGTTTGGATGTTCGGTTGTAACCTTCGATGATCTTAGTTATGTTTTAATTGAATTCTTATGATCAATGGATTAATTATCTTGTCATCGATTGTATGTGTGTCGGAATTTGTGAATATTGTGTGGGATTGAATACTCCTTTGTATGTGGAGATCAGTGGTTGGGACCAAGTAGTAGAGTTCAAGTAGGCCTGGGTATCAAGGGACTGTGAAGTTGTCAAATTCTAGTATATCTAAAGTGGGGGAGAGTGGAATCTCTTAGCAAGAAGACCTTGCGCCAAGGTTCGGTTTTCAGTCAAATTTCTCCAAGCTTAAGACTTCCGCCCAACTGTTGAATCTTTCGGTTGCACATCAAGATCATCGTCAGCTGATGGATTCCCTTCGAGTCGTACTAGTTCTAGTTGTGATATCAGCTGTAGGGAGTGATTGTGCTTTACACTATAGGGTGTTAGGAGCCCAGGTTGAGGGATGTGATAGGGGCTTCCTTGCCTATTCTTGTTTGATTGGGGCTTGGAGGTCTAAGTCATGGCCCGAAGACCTGGTAGGATCATTTAAGTCTAGGCTTATTGGGGTTAGTCAAGTTGCTGGTTCAGCGTATGATGTGTTCCGGGTGCAGTTATTGGTTAGCAGGTCGGGGGTAAGCCTGGGTGTTATGGTTGGTTAGAAAGTCGGGAGTAAGCCCGAGTGTTGTGGTTGGTTAGTAGATCGGGGGTAATCCTGAATATGGACAGTGGATAGATGAGTAAGGCTGTTAGAGCCAAGTAGGAGCCTGGCCTAGTTTGGCATGTGACCAGTCAGTTCTCGTCTCATTGGTGCACTTATATGCGGGATTAGCATGACGGTGTTTGACCGATGAGGGTTAGAGTTGATCCAATCTATGGGTTATTGGTTAGTTTGGTTGATGGGAGAGGTTGCATCATGTAGTTGAAGTGAGAGCTGATTTCGAGGACGAAATCTAATTTAACTGGAAGAGAGTTGTAACACCCTTTTTTGATTCATTTCATAATTCGGGGTCGTGGCCCAAAGATCAAGT